AATATGAAGTCCCGATAAGGAGAATATTATAACTTACAAGACTAGGAAAATATACGTAAATTTTCGGAATATGAATTTTTCTTTATGCCTCGTTATCAAACTCGTGTAATTACGAGATCATGCCAAAATGAAGGAAGGGCTTAGCCTTAACATACCTGAGTCGATTCTCTTGAGAAAGATTACACTGTACTCCCTTAATATTGCAAAATCTCACGTTGTTTCGAATTGATGAAGATCTTTCGTTGCTTATGTTGATCAACTTAGATTTGCACTTGTCGTCCTTATAATTCATACCCAGGTACGTGACTACTTGAGAATTGAGATATATAAGAGGCCTTTGTAACGTAACAGTAAACATGTAAATCTAGCAAATCACTTCAAGGCTTACTTAAATAGTGCTTTTTTTTTTTTTAGATATCAAGATTGTTGAGAATTCCAAATCCCATCCGTTACCTATATCTTTATCCATCTCTTAATGAATTGGAGTCTTATACCTTAGTGGGTGCGGGCCCACTAAGGTAATGACTAAGCCTTTAAGAATGACACATTATCAAATGATTTGAAAAGCCACTTAGGTTAATTAGGTTGCTGCCACGTTAATTCTTAGCCATTCCCAACCAATTAGTTACCAACATTTTATCAATTTATTTATGGCGTACTTTCACATACGAAAATATGGGGTGCAACAGTTATTTCCATTAACACTGTGTTAAATTCTGAGTTTAATTATCGTTAAATATCATTACTTTCTGTTAATTATTAAAAATGGTTAATTAATTTAATAAAGTCGGATTGCTTAGCAAGTAGATGTTAGGCACCATCACAGTCTCGAGGTTAGGAATTTCAGGTCATGACACACTTGTATTTATCGAAAAAATATCTTGAAGAGGAATTTTGATTTTTAAGCTCATTCCATATTTTGCGAAATAGTGTCATGTAAGCGAGTTCGTAATGTATACCCTATCCTATTATCTTTTACAATATGCGCCCCAATCTCTTAGCTCCTCGACCATCTAAACACATAATTACATTTTCAAAATACGTTAATTTATTTTTCCTACTTTACCAAATAACTATAAAAATAGATTTTTGTAGTTTTGTAAGAAAATGGAGAGATTGGAATGCATATTGTAAAAAATAATAGAATAGGGTCTATATTACAAAACAATGTATTCTTTAGGGGTGCAAAATGCAACGAACCCCATGTAAGCCTCTAGAGAAAATCAAATTGCACATCAACTAAATGAACAAATGCTCGGCCGATGTGGATTAAGTCCACAGAAAAGTTTGAAATCACCTTGATTAAGTATATGTGTGTGGTGGTTATCACCTGTTTAAAAAAAAAAAAATATGTAAACGCACGAGAGCTTTTATGTAACATTGATTCTGCAATAAGCTATCTTGTACAACAGAAAATTGACATGTGAATCATGCTGTTTGACATTTAAATTTGAAAGCTTAAATTCAGGTGCAGTATGACCACTCATCTCTTGTTCCACAAAATTTACAAACTTCTAAGTGGACCTCTTCTTGCTCTCAACAGCTTCCTTAAGTTTCCTTCCCAGTGCATATGCCAAAGGAGGTGGAACAGCATTTCCTATTTGCCTGTGCTTGTGCAAAATGTTACCAGCAAATTGATAGCTATCTGGGAAACCCTGCAATAGATGATAGTATATTATTGTAATAATCCTGTCAAAGGCCTGCATCTTTAGTGAATACAATACAAACTCCACTTTCAGTTGTTTACTCTTTGTTTTTGATAAATGATTACTCTTATTTCCTGATGAAGAAATGATATGCCATCTTAGTTGTTGACCACCTTAAGACAGATAGTGAAAGACATGAACATCTCATTCAGTTGACTTCGCAACATCTTGGCGACAACCATATCACAAACATTGCGCAAAGAGACACCCAGGGGAACAAAATCATGTGGGG